TATGAAATCTGGATGTGTTATTAATTACCTATCAACGGTTTTGGTAATACTTTTGTATTAATCTTGTAACAAGTGAGTGAAACGAAACCAATGCCTGCGACACCCAGCACTATGTATGATAATTAATAATTATAATGTGTATCTAAGTATTAAAATATGCCACGAATTTGTATGGCCATATAGATATCTGTTTTAATTATTCTGTCAATGCTTTTTCCAACATTGGAGTACAGATGGAACGTTCAAGTCTATAACAACAATATTTTGTATAATACCTAGGTATTAAATAAGTAGGTATGTATTTTAAATATTTGTGATGTGTAATTATAATGTACCCGATCAACATTCGGTTAAAATATTACCCGAATAGAAATATTAATTAGCTGAAATAAAGGGCAATTCTTAAGAGATAAAATTCCTAATATCTGCCTAAAATAGGCTGTAATTAAACAAACAATATGTATAACAAAAACCTATATGTTATAAAATGTTAATTTGTTTATTTTAATCGCATGTTTATTTTAATTTAAGCAATTGCATTCCGTTATTCCCACAGACCTGCAATATCCTGTAATCTGTATCTATTAGATTATCGTCATGAAAATAAAAACAACAATGACCCTGAAAAATACACCCTTTCTACGACTCGGGCCAAGTTGCTAAGCACGTATATAATTTAAATAAAAAGGATAGATAAAAATGGATATACAGATTATAATGAAAAATAATTTGTTTTATTAATAGAATTAGAATACCATTGTATAAACTGATTATTATCTAAATTAGATATGAAAATAGGAATGTAATTAATTTATTACATATTAGACATAGTTACTATAGGTATAAAGTTCATCACTGTGTTGAACAATAGTTGATAATAAGTTATAAGTTTATTTATTTTGAAAATATGTACTTATATTACTATTATTTATATGTAACTGCAGGTCTTCAGAAACAAGAAGCATAATAAAAAACCGAAAAACAGCCAACTTTGAGTAGCTATAACTCATTAAAGGTTAAATTGAAGCTAATAATTATAACGTTATAATTCATAAAAAAAATAGCTCTATAATTATGACATTTAAAATATTGGTTGCCATTTTAAAATAAAAAGTTGATAATGGTTTTACTATTTAATATAAGCTTGGAAAAAATCATTTTATATAATTCTAAAAAAGCATAAAACTAAACATTTTGAAATAATGAGTGTTCAATGATAAATAAATCCTGTATAATTCATATTCTCGAAAAAAAACTAACATTTTTATTATTATTTTCTTCCATTTATTTTTAAAAATGTTTACATATTAGATAAGATTTGTGGAAACACCTGGTATGGTAAATAATAAAATTAATGATCTTTTTGTATATATTTATATAACAGCTGAACGACTTAACGTGGTTCTAGTAGTTTTCAAAATGTGTCAATCTGTAACATACAAAATAAACATTTTTTAATGGGTTGTATTTATATTTAGTTGTAAAATTATTAAATGTATTTATTTTTAAACAATCGATAAGCATATTATAATTTTTTTTGTAATCAAAGTAAATTACAGGAAAGTATCAAAAGATAGAGGATTAAAATATGTTATGTAATGAACGCGCTCATTTCAAAACCAAGCTAACATATTCACTATAATCTAAAAGTTGATTCACTTGTTTAGTTAGGAGTGCACATTGTATGGTTAAGGAGTTAAAACCAATACTTAAACATATTACATTATTGATAATAAATTTTATAGGAAGACACTCATTTATATAAAATAGACCACCTCTTTTTATGTTAAACATTTAATACATTTTAAATAATCTTTTATATTAAAAATTAACACAATTTATCTTATATTGAGGTTAAATCAATTTAATGTTGGTTATTGTGATTTTTCCATTAAAATTAAGAATATTTTCTCAATGGAATTTGTACTTAATGATAATGCATTATAATATATTAGTTATAAATTGAACATTTTTCAATGCAAAACTGTTATTAATTAAATAAATATTTTAAAAATAGAGTAATAAAGAAAAAAAAAATAGTAAACATAGTAAAATTTAAATAATATTACTAATAATTAATAAATTTAATTACCTATACAATAGAGCTTCAGATTTATTATTGGCTAAACCAAGGAATCCACCATTGGGTGAGAAATCTACACAATTAATTTTCCCAATATTATCAGATGTTGTAGGAAAATTAGAAAACACTGTTTTAGATGGTACGTGTAACTGAAAAAAATATAAATATACATAATCATACATCAGGAAACTAAGTATCTAAAGGATATAAAATAATAATTTAAAGAAACTGTTAATATTACCAATTTAATAGCATCATTCTTTTGATTAGAAACCATAGCTAAAATATCTGAACTTTTGTTGAAGCTTAGTTTTGAAACAGTGGTTACCAAGTTTAAAATGGTTTTATCTGGCTTTGGATTTACATCACATGGTAATTTATATAAATTAACAACACCTGATGATGAGCCAGCTGCTAAATACTGATTGTCATTTGATAATGCTAAACTAGTGCCTTGGAGACAGCCATCATCCATAAATTTCTTTATACACGTTCGACTGTTCATATCCCATTCATAAATTTCACCATTTTCTATAAATGATTCAATATTTTTTATTGAATATTAACATTATCTTAGATAGATAGTTAGATTTATATATTATTAATAAAAATATGATAATAATATCATTATTTTATGCTTTGGTATTTATTAGCTAGCTAAGAACTTACAGTTTATTTTCAGTATTCTGTATTCCTGTCTATACTTAGATTATGTATTATTAACTATTCAAGTAACAAAATTAAAAAAACATAAATTTATTTACCTCCAAAAGAATACATTCTCTTCCCATCATTGGTAAAAGTTAGAGCATTTACTGCGCCATTCATCTTCAATGTAGTTATCCATTCTTTGCTTTTTGCAGTAAACAAGTGAATCTCTCCAAATTTACCACAAGAAGCTATTAATTTCCCGTCAGGTGACATGCAAAAGTTCTACAAACATTTAAATTTGTAATAAATTAAGTGATATGTAATAAAAACTACAGAAAACTATTAACTACTAACATCCATTCTAGTTTGTCCAATATTATGATGAACAGGAACAAACATTGATCTTCCTTCCATTAAATCATAGCAGTAAAAATTTCTTTGTGTTCTAGAGCCAGCTATAAACTGTTTTCCATCAACAGTAAAATGTGCACAGTCAATAGCAAATTTTTGAAATTTAATAGATTGTAATTTCTCATTTTTAAATCCGTCAACCTATAAACAATAACCCTATATATTTTCAATTTAAAGAATCAAATTTAAAATCATACCTGCACAATTGAAGCTCTTCCTGATATACCAGCAATTAATGCTAAACTGGATGTAGGATGAAATTCTACTGACTTGACAATTTTGCCACAAGATGATGTGGATAAATTTAAATTGTGTAATTTTTTTATACCAATCAAACCTTTAGCCAAATTTACTCCTTTTTTTGCACGAGCTAAATTACCACTGTACTGAAATAGTTTTAAATTATATTTGTTTACAATTAAATACATATTGATTATAAATATATATATTATATTTTAGTAATATTTACTTTTAGCAAATCCAAATCTTCGTCATCTAAAAATACTTTTTGTGACTGATCTGCAGTGATTTTGGCCCATTTCGGTTTACCAACAATTCCAATATATTTTTGTTTCAAAAGTTTTCTCTGTTCTTTGCTAAATAAGAATAAATAAAACAATACAATTTTAAATTTGTCACAATAATAATAAAAAAAGTTTAACTTACTTGGAATTTGTGTCATCCTCATCTTGCCATGCTCGTTTCAATTTCTTTTTACCATTTAAATTTTCTTCTAGACAATCACTAGTAATCAAAATTATTAAAATAAATAGATAGGTATGTACAAACATGAAGATAATTATTGAGTATTAGAACAAATTTAATGTTTTACACTGTATTTAAAGGTTAGGAATCATAATAATTAACTTATGAGGTAAAAATTAAGATTTTTATCCAAAAAAAAAAAAAAAGGTTGCTATTTTATTTATTTTATTGTTTACTTATAGTTACAATGATTGAAAATAGTTACGTAAATTAAACAATACTTACATTGTTTTAGATTTATTCACGGCCATTTGGAATGACCAATTTGAAATTGTTACTTAAGATTTATTAACACAGACTTATAAAATAGATCTCAAATAATATTTTAATATTGTGGCAGTCGATTGATAATGCCAGACATCAAACATGAGCGGTTTAAAAGCGCAATAAACCCCTTACGACTGACGAGTAAAACTGATTACCGTATTCAATTCGGTTGTCAATTGCCATGTGCATTACAGTGCGATGGTATGCTTTTGCTTACATTTGATAAGGCATAAAATAGATAACGACACCAACTACTACTTAATAGGTAAATACTAAATTATATCATTTGTCTTACCGTAAGATTGAATTATATGTTTATGTAAATTTACTTTGAGTAAAAGTATAAATATTTTGTATTCGAGGATTATGATCCATAAATATCGGTAGGTATATTGGTTGTATTTATTATCCATCTTGGTGGTTGTGAATTTTGTTCAAATCGTTTTTATGTTTATCACGTTTTTTGTAATCACCTGAGACTTGATACGCCGTGTCTACAAGTTATAATACTGGCCACCAGTAGGCAGTAACTATCGTTCTTGTCTTTCGACAATTTAGCGGGAACGCTAGACTTGCTTCATTTGCCATGCCCGGAAAACCCGAAGATCAACACGAAAACGAAACCGATAATATTGTCCAACCACTACAACCTACTCTAACGGATCGTCTGAACAAATATCTGTTGTGCGCCTACTTGAATCGTCTAAACGAAGAGGACAGCCAAGGTGGCGGTCAGCAACTTGCTCCCGAAGAAGACTCAGTCGACGTAAACACTGAAGAAACGTTTTCTGATTGACTGATTTTATTTTTGATTTACGTCGGATGCCATTGCCATTTTAATGATAAGTGATGGATGATTTTGACGAAAACGATTTCGATAATTTGGTTGAAGGCCGTATCGATGAAGATGTCGATAAATATCTGGAGCCACAAGACGGCGACGAGCAAGAAGAAAACGAGGAAAAAAGAATTGTTCCAGTGAAGATACGCGTGAGAAATCCACAACCTAAATTAAATGCTGATAGGTAATCATTATTTTCTTATAAAAAATTTTTCAAAGTTAAATTTTTATTACACCAATACTAATGTATGTTCTTTGATGGTTGGCTAATATCCTATAATAATAATAAAATCCCAAAGTTAGTTGCCTCTTGTTGTATTATTTCAACAAAAATTTTAAAATCATTGAATTTTTATATTTAAATAAGATTTTGAGTTATTTTTAATTTTAGTTCGGTATTTTTGTACTTGGTATTTATTTATTTTTTTTACTACACTTTGTTTCATCAAGGGACAGACCATGCAGAAACTGGCTGGCTAAGTACATAATTTACAGTATTTTCACAATATACCTAGTGTTTCCAACAAATTTCTAATTTGACAATCCAGACAGAGTAATAGACCTCATTCTATTGAGACTAGTCAGACCTGACCCGACATATATTTTTTAATAGGATAGAGTATTATTAGAACCTTAAAAAATAATTTAAACATATTTTGTTATACTTTATTAAAAACAAAGTAGTAATTACTAAAATATTGTTATAAAATAAGTAAAATTTAAAAATTTTATAAATAATTTTAGAATCAAGAAACATGGTATAGGGAAAAAGGTTTTTGCACTAATTTTTTTTTTGTATACTTGCTTAAAAAATGACTTATCTTGTTAGGTATTTACTAATTTCAAGGAATGTTAAAGTATAATTTTGTTCATTATTAATTCTAGGTTGCGAGGTTCTCGTGGGTTATCTGTACTCCCATCATGGTTTGAGAACATTCAGTTGAAAGGCAAAGGTCATGAATCAGAAGATCTCAATGCTGTCATAAACCGTTTAGAACAATGGACACATAGATTATTTCCTAGGTATACATTTGATGACTCTATCGATAAGTTAGAGAAGTTAGGTAAAAAGAATGAAGTTAAGGTATTGTTGAAACGAATAAGGATGGATTTGGATAGTAATGATTGTATAACACAAATTGAAGATGAAGAGGTTGAACCATCACCCCCTCAGATTGATGCGTTTGATCGGATTGCTAACACTGTTGATATATTTCCTGTGACATCTACTCCAAGTGTCAGTAACACCGGGTTAACTGAAGAACAAAGACAAAGGATGATGCATAACCGTATGTTGGCTGAAGAAAGGCGACAAGCTAAGATTAGAGCTCGTCAAGAGCAAGAAGTAAAAGCTACTTTAAATGCTGATTCTGTGTCTTTTAATTCTATGTAATGTTATTAATAATTTACGATTGTAAATGCATGTATATTTATAAATCTAAGAAAGATTTATTTTTTCATGAAATTAATTACTAAGAATTTGTATTTTGAAATATTCAGTTACAGAAAAATATTTGTTTTGATTAAGATCATTGATATTTAGAATTAAAATTAAAATTAGTGATATTAAGACAAAAAAAAAAAAAAAAAAATTGTTAAAATTAAAATTTTTGTATTTATATACTAACAATTACCATTGATTAAATATACAGTATAAAATAAACATATTGTGTTATGTACGTCATTATTATTACTTAGTAAGTTTAAATAGCAATGCACTTATATGTCTATAATAAATTTCGTTTTCGTTTTTTAAATTTCAATGTAGACTAACTAAAAATATTTTTGTACAGTATATTTTTAGTTATATTCGTTGAATGTTTAATAAGGTTTACATTTTTGTTTATCTACCTAACACAAATTATAATGTTTGGCAATTGAAAATCAAATATTATTGCCCTTGAGCTTAGAAACAATTTTATTAATCTAGCCTATAAATATTATTTTTTTGATTGATAAAATTCATTTTTTTTATTCAAATATTTATGTTGTTTTTTAATATGCTGTGCTAATAATTTATTTAGTATACAATGTCACATTGTCACTCTTTCAAGAAGAATAAAGGAAGCGTGCCATCAACATCCTTTGAGCAAATAACTGTTCAAACTTTAGATGAATTCATGGTAATAATAATATTAGTATACATTTTTTTATTTTTCTTATTAGTATACTGTGTTGCAGGTACAAATTTAAAAAAATTTTAGTTAGCAGTGAACACAAATTTATCTTTTGGGCTCGACATGTAGAGAACACAAATCGCTTATAACTGTATCTACCTAGTAACTATTCGTACCTAGATCGGTTTCGGTTTGATCGTAATAAAGCAGATTATGTAATAGAAATTAGAAAATTGGGTTTGGAAAAAGTTCAAGTCAAATGATAAAAACAAAAATTAAATAAAAAACAGTGATTTGGGATGTGAGTGTGTGAAAGTAAAAAGGAAAATCAGAAATTTTTTTTAGATCAAAGTGGCTAAAAATGTCTTAAGAAAAATAAAAGCAAAAACAATTTGTTGAAATGAACCAAGAAATGCGTAGTAGTCATGATAATAATACATTTTTTAAGATAATAACGGTAGGTAGGTACCAAAAAGTAGGTATATTGTCACTTATTTTTTTTTGTTTTTTAGCTTTAGCGTATGAAACTTTAGTTTTCAAAATTACACATAAAGCTGCTTGTGAATCACATGCAATTATCATTGTAGTTAAGACAACAATATTTAATTTTTACATTAATCATTAGCACTCCTATTGTTTTTTTTTTTGATCAGGTGTGCTAAATTAGTTGTAACTTTTTTCACGTATACATGATGAATATTTTCCAAATCTACCTTGTGTAATAAATATTTATTTTTATTTTTACATAGGTATATAAAAAGCCGGCAAAATCAAGAGTCAAAATTATGTACAATTTATATAAAAAAATTGAAACTATCAAATTTTAATTTTTAGAAAACGTTGGCAACTAATGTTCTTATATTATTTTTATTTGACACTAAGTTCAACATTTTAGGATAACTTACAAATTTTGAAAGTGAACGAGCAAATTCTTGTAAGTAACTTGCAAAATATTAATGATAATTTTGAATCATCAAAGTGGGTGGTCAAATTCGTCGTACCTATATGTATATCGTTTATTATTAGTTTTTTTATATTATAAAAACCATTAAATAAAATTCGTTTGTTATTTAAAAATTCGAAGTAGATAATACATAAGATTTTGAATGGCTGAGCCGCTAATATTAACAGTGAATAAACTCAGTCAAAGTATAAAGTGTTTAATTTTTGCGGTCCTAGGTAAATGGTATAAAACAGCGGTTCTTAACCTTTTGTATAACACAGACCCCCGATGAAATATTTTTAGAAATCGCGGACCCCCTATCAATTTTTTTTCAAATACCTTTTTTTATAAAATATATCAAGTTATCATAATCAAAATTATAATAACTATTTTATATTGACCCGCCGTGACAGACAATATAAGATTATAATTTTATATGAAACAAAAATAACAATCCAAAAATATTGTAATAATGCACTCATGTCACGTATTAACTTATGTTAGGTGGTAAGGCTGCCGCGGACCCCCGACATGAGTATTGCGGACCCCCAGGGTCCGCGGACTATAGGTTAAGAACCGCTGATATAAAAAAATATTACATTTATAATTCCTACAATACGAAACAATAAAAATAATAAGATTTACTTTTATTAACCTTACTTGGGAGAGAAGACTAAATCGAATTAATACCTAATTATAAGACACAATATAATAGATTGTGTTGTAGCATTAGAGCATTATACTCTATTTATTCAAGTAAAAAAAAAAAAAAATGTATTAGGCATACCGAGTTGTTAAAGCTATTAGTATAGGTCTGCGAAAAGAGTTTTTTTTTTAATATTGATAACTATTAACCAGTACATGGAAATACATGTAATACATTTAATACATGGAATCAGATTATTTGCAAGTACCTACATATTATTATTTAAGTTTTATAGTAATGAATACAATTTATACGAATGCAAGTCAAATTCAATTTTAGTAATTTAATTATTCTACTGGTACTTCAACAAGGTTAAACTTCAAAGTTTGAATTACGGATCATTAAAGAACGATTACAGTGAAGTAGTTGATTCGGTGTTCAATAGCACCGTGTTTCCTGTTACTTGTTGTTAAGAATTATTTTTAGAACAAATGTTAAACTAAAAAGTCGGCTTAACAAAAAGTCTTGCCTCATAATTACTGTACAAATTAATATACGTAAGGAAAAATATAATACCAATACATTTTTATTATAAAATGTTTATAATTTAAGGAGTAGACGCCTTTTAATATTTCTTAACATGTCAATACTTCGTGTAGATGTTTACGGATTGTATGCTATGTGGGGCGTTCGGGCAATTTAAAAAATGTCCATTGACTTGCAGTTCTTCGCAGTCAAATCTTAGATTGTCCCAATCGATGCCCCATTTTATGAGGTTTGTCCTTGTGTATGGTTTGCCTATGTATTGTTAAACTATGGCCATGTTTTCATATATTTATTTATTTTAAAATAGGGAAGATAAAATAACCATGTACTTAAATTGTAATATAATTCAATGTATAATGAACAAAAAACACGCAGTGTTTCAAGCAATAAATTTGTTTAATTTATTTGGCTATAATTTATTTTAAAACGTTTACAAATTTATATTATATATATCTTAGTTATTTAATTTTTTATTCTGTTTCACAACACATTTTGTTCAGACATTATTTTTTTTTACTTGTAAAAATGCGAATAATGTAGCCTATCTATTTAAATTATACATATAAAAAAAAAATTGTTTCAAGTTTCAATTTGATAAATGTCGCTAAATATGAATTTTATTGCGCAGATACTAAATATTCATAATAATACCAGACTTTTTTTTAACAATTATATAATAATAATAATAATAATAATAATAATAATAATAATGATAATAATAAATAACAAATAAACGACTAGATCGAAATAAACAAAAAAAAAAAAACATCATATTTTTATAATTCGTTATTTTCAGTTTTGTTGCATTATTTGACTTACGAACAAAGTAAATGTAAAATAAATTAACGAAAAATAAGCCAAAACATTATCCAACATCTTAAAAGATCTTAGATACAATTAATAAGAACAATATTGTTTCTTAAATTGTTCGATTCGTTTCAAACATTGCGCAATGGCATATAACAAACTGTTTTAATTTTTAACATTTGTTATTTTTTAAACACTAGCCAACACAAACAGAAATTACATAAACATTTTACAATTGGATGAGATTGTCTGAATTTCTTAATTTTTTTTTTTTTGTAATTAAATTATTATTGTGTACACGGATGATTGTAACAGCTGTGTTGTATATCTTCCATGACTTAACTATATTTATTATTTTTATACAATACTTAAAAAAAATTCCCTTTTCAAGGGTTGTAACATTATTATAATATTAAAACGCAGTAACAAAATTGTACGTACACCAAAATTTTGCAACACACACTACACAAAAAACAAAAATAAAAACAAATAAATTTGTTTTTTTTTTAATAAAACAATAAAATAAACTAAATTCTAGTATACAACTAACGTGAGCCGTATGCCGTTAGTGCACACTATAATAATAATAATAATAATAATAATAATAATAATAACAATAAATGATTAGATATTAGTATTTAATATAAATTTGATTATAACATAGGTTATGCTAGAAAGTTGCAAACGGTTTCTAACGATTAATTTGTATATACGACCATTTTGAAACCAGCGTTGGATTTAACCTATGGACAGTAATATTAGCCCGGTTAGCTCCACCACTCAGGACAATTGTTGGGCACATTCATTCACGTATAATATTCTCATCATTATAATATAATAGTAGACCGCGCAAAGTTATTCTTATATAATTTTCATAATTTGAGTGTTCTAGACAAACCGGGCACGGAATGACTTCTACTAAATTGAGAAATAAAAAAACTAAAAAAATATAACAATAATAGTTATGTACACCAAACGTTGGTTCAAAATTTGACGAATATGTCCCGGACGTCATCGTCTATATAGTACAGCATAAGCGAAATATATTTGAGCGAAGATTTTAATATATTTAGATGAGGAAATATTCATGAAAAACAAATTAAACTTTAATTATAATTACAAACAAACATTGCGGTAATAATAATATGTTTCGGCTTTTCTTTTTAATTATTGTCGTTAGAAAAACCTATAAAATAATAACTTCGGGTCATTTAATTTGTTTACATATTATACGCGACGAGTTTGAGCAAAAAAAATTCAGTTTATCTTCTGTCACGTCAACGTTTTTGGCACATTGGAGTTACACAGGGTGAGCGGTTCACAGCATACCGGTGCGTTAATGGAAGGGACGCAGCGGAAATACAAGAAATTCTAAAGGACAAAAC